GAAGCCTGGTGGACTACAGTCCAGTGACTGAGCACAAAATTAGTTATTAATGTTTCTCTCAGTGTCATTATAATTGAGTTCACTCTTGACCCCCGACTCCATACACCAAATATAAATTCTGAAGTTTCAGCATAACTTTCACTCAATAAATGATCCTAGCTGAGCTAAGTGGTGTCAGAGGAGCAACCATACTCTCCAACCTCATTGCCTCTATCGTGCAAATTCAGTCTACACTGGGATCACTCCTCCAAGCCATCTGGAGTTATTTTTATTCTGTCTGGCAGGGTGAGAGTTCAGATTCACCATAGTTCAGTAGGATGACAGCATATTTAGCCACATAATGGAACACCTCTCTCTAAGCTCACAGTCATGGGGAAATCCTGTGTTGCCAACAATAAGAGTTAATTAAACATTCATCACATTCAGCCAAGCTGATATCCCTTTGGAGAAAATCACCAAAGGTGTAAATTACTTAAACTTTGAAGATCAGGATTTTAATCATATGTGCAACAATCATAACTCAAAAGGCAAAAGCTGACATTCTGGCTTCTGAAATAAGCTTTGGAAAAGTAGCCGTACTTGTCATGAGGCTCTCATTGTGAGAAAGGCCTTCACAGACCACAGCTGACAGCTGCCAGAAGGGGTTACATCCAGCTTCAGAATGTGGCTAGATGGTAACCACCTTAGCCACATAAAAATCACCAGACACATGCATATTCTTTCAACTTCTTCATGAAAATTTGGGGCATTTCACATGCAGAACTTCTTGAATTGGATAATGGGACTGCTATGGATTGAACTGTGTTCCGTCTCAAATTCCTATGTTGAAGTCCTCATGCACAGTGCCTCAGAATGCAACCTTGTTTGAACATAGGGTCTTTACAGAGGTAATCAATTTAAAGTATGGTCATTTGAGTGGGCCTTAGTCCATTATAACTGGATCTATACAAAGGGGAAATTTGGAGAAAGACACCCATGCAAGGAGAAAAACATGAGCAGGAAGACAAGGAGAAGTCTGAAACAAACCCTTCCTTACAATCTTCAGAAGCAACTGAACCAGCCAACACCATGATCTCAGATTTCTAGATCCACAAACTGTTGAGACAGTAAATTTCTTTTGTTTAAATCATCTACTACTTTGTTACAACAGCTCTAGCAACCTAATTCCAGGATATATTTACTAATGTAACAATAAAAATGAAGACGTTTTTATTCACCAGTATTCCTCTAGGAGAAAGCATCTAATTGCATTTGGCTGAGTCACTTAAGGTGGAAGGAGAGCCCCTCCCCACCCCACCTCCCAGCATATTTAAACCTAAAAGATTTTTTAAAATTTGTTTTGATCCTAAGGGAAAGTAGAGTATAATATTGGCTGAAAGAGTGTGGGCAAATACCATCCCTCTCCCACAATTCATGACCCATATATGCTAAGTCACTTCAGTTGTGTCCGACTCTTTGCAGCCCCATGGACTGTAGCCCACCAGGCTCCTCTGTGCTTGGGAGTCTCCAGGTAAGGATACTGGAGTGGGTGCCATGCCCTCCTCCAGGGGATCTTTCTGATCTAAGGATGGAACCCACATCTTCTGTGGCTCCTGTGACTGCAGGTGGCTTCTTTACCGCTGAGCCACCCAGAAAGCCACCGTGACCCACACATCTTCACTGAGAACTACAGAGATTCCCAAACTGTTTTGCCTAAGCAGTTTCCTCTAGCTGCCAGTTCTGGGACTGAATTTTGTGCTTAGGTTGTTGTAGGACCTGAGTCAGAGGGAGCTACTCCAAACTGGCAGAAATCTAACAGAAGAGTCTCATCTTCTCAACACTGTGGAATGCTGGCTCTTGCTAGTCTGATCTACAGGACTGAGGAGGCCCAGATGACCTGAATTACACTGAGAACAATAATAACACCAAAAAACAAAGCAGGTAAAATATAAAACATACACAAATGTAATTGCTATCATTTCCATAGGCTACATACTGGTCTTCCAATCAATCAGGCCATAGCAACGGGCCATCACTTGGGTACACAGACTTGATCTCAGGACTTTGTGCCTAGTTTGAAGTAGAGTGGAGGGAAAATAATGGATTTTTTTTTTTACTAAAAAAATGATGCATGACCATGGTTAGAGCCTAAAGTATCATTTACAAGTGGGCTGTTCCCATTGGAAAATATTGAGGATATGGAGAGAAGATGGCAAGAGCAGAAAAATATGATTGAGTGTAATAATTTTTTCAAAACTGATTCACCTTGGAAGCATGTGAGTAGACTTTAGAGCTTCATACCTCTAGAACCACCATAATCTAGAAATTTTATTTGTACAGGGCCCTTCCTTCTCTCTTCTTTTTAATCCTCCCATTGTGGGTTGTCCCATTCCACCAACTTCTGAAGAAGCAGAGTACCTTTCAGACTCCCCGCAAGACACAGAATAAGGAATTTCAATAATCTGAAGGTCCCTGTTCCATTTCATTAAGAATCCCACTTCCATTAGGAACCCCAAGTGGAAGAAATGCTGAAAGTTGTGCCTCTGTCTTCCTTTTCTTGCCCTTGAAAAGTAGCTTCAGATACATGAAGACTATCAGTGTTTCAGCTATTGTTATTTGTCACTCATCCACCCCATTCAGAAGGCTGAGGTGAGGAGAAGGAAGGACACTACCTTTCTGGGGCACTAAACAGGCACCTAATAGGTTAATAAAAGTCTCAGCAAGGAGAACTTCTGAGACTGAAGAGAAGTCAAGAAAAAGAAGCCTAAAGAAATCTCAGTTTATACCTAAATGAAAAGAAAAAGGGCAACAGCCAGGAGCGGGCCTTCACGTCTGACACCCTAACGGTGCCCGTGATGGTCCCGTTTTCTTTCGGCAAAGGGTCTCTGAGGGATAGGCATGGCCAGGCCCCTTGTCAGACGCGCTCACAGCACTGCAGAAGCCCTGCGCCCCTCATTTCACAGAGCAGACGACCAACGTGAGGAAGCCTACACAGAGCCCAGGGCTGGAGAGAGAGATGGAAGGAGCCGAATAGAATCCCAGCCTCTGCCGCCAGATTTTGGTTTCCTTTCCCCGCATTCCTATGAGGGGTGGGGTTAGTTTTCCAAGGCTGCTGTGTTAAACGTGTAGCACACGCTGGTTGACTTAGAACAACAGAAATTCGTTTTCAGTTCTGGAGGCCAGAAGGCTGAAATGAAGGTGTCACAGGGTCAAGCCTCTTCCTGGCTTTTGACGGCGGCTGGCAAGCTTTAGCATGCCTCGGCTTCCAGCCACATCACTTTAACCTCTGCCTCTGTCATACATGGTGTCCTCTTCTGCGTCTTTACCTCATCTTACAAGGACACCAACTGTATCAGATTGGAGGGTCACCCTATTCCAGACTGACTTCTTTTTAAACTTTTTATTTTATACTGGGCTCTTTCCTATTAACAGTGTTGTGATAGTTTCAGATGGACAGCAAAGGGACCCAGCCTTACGTATACACGCATCCATTCTCCCCCAGACTCCGCTCCCGTCCAGGCCACCACATAGCATGGAGAAGAGTTACCTATGCTGTATAGTAGGACCTTGTTGGTTATCCATTTTATACATAACAGTACATATGTGTCAATCCCAAACGCTCTAATTATCCTTTCCCCCATTCTTCTTCCTGGCAAACTGAAGTTGGTTCTCTAAGTCTGTGAGTCTATTTCCATTTTGTGAGTAAGTTTATTTGTATCATTTCTTTTTAGATTCGGCATAAAAGGGATATTATATGACATTTCTCCTTCTCGATCTGACTTACATCATTCAACATGACACTCCCTAGGTGCATCCATGTTGCTGCAAATGACATTATTTCATTCTTTCTAATGTCTGAGTAAAATTCCATTCATATGTACCGCATCTCAGGGTGACTTCACCTTAACTGATGGTATCTACAATCGCCCTATTTCCAAATAAGGTCACAGTATAAGGTACGGTGGGTTAAGATCTCAACACCTCTTTTGAGGGAACACAGTTCAATCTCTAACAGGTCTCTTCCCCATGCAGAGGACAGAAACCCAACCCAGATCCACCTAAATAGAAATGAAGTTGGTTGGTACTAGGGACCAGCAACTCTAAGGATGACAGAGCTAAGTTCAAGTGGCGTTACAGGGACTCGGTCTTCCTTTCCTCTCCGCCTCCCACTTTCTCGTCTGTTTCTCTGTGCGCCCCCTCTTTCAGGGGATTTATCTTGACATGGTGGCTCATATCTAACATTCTAACAACTGCTATTTAATATTTTCTCTTTCTCATTAGATCCAGCAGGATCCCATGACAAAACCTCACTGTATGGCTTGGATATGTGCCCCCCTGGGGAGAATTAGTGATACAGTCTATGGAGGAATGGGTTGGCTAACCCCCTGAGACAAATTATTATCACACATGAAACATGACCTCATTAGATACCTTTAGAACATGATTTCTCTTATGAGTTCATGCACAACATTGCTGGGAACCCAGTGTAACCAGCATTTTTGTAACCATCCATCTGAATACAGCTCTAGAGGGCTTTGTATGTAAGCAATTTCCCAGGCACCATGGCTGGATCTATTTACCAAGATCCAGGCGAAGCTTTTTTATTAGTCACCTTTTCCCTTATTTCTATGGCAACTGTGATATAGGAGGCTTGTTTCTATGTGGGCTGTGCTCTTTTTATCTGGCACCACTTTAGAGCTATTTAGCTAGGGTTGAATTTTTGCTGCAACTAAATTCATGGGATGAGGAGGAAATTCAGGACCAGAAAAATCACAGTAGGGAGGAAAATTCAGTTCACTTCAGCTTCAGGCTCTTGGTGACTCCCAAGCACAAGGGGAGGAAAACATTTCTCTACCTCTTTCCCTCAATTTTCTGAGACTGAGCAATAGAAAAGAACCACAGGAGGTAAGATATTTTGAAAACATTTCCAACCTTAGAAGTATCTCTCAGTCACTCTTTTTTATGTATATATTTATTTATTTACTTATTTATTATGGCTATTCAGCTATGTGGGTCTTAGCTATGGCGTGCGAACTCTTTGTAGCAGCATGTGGAATCCAGTTTCCTGACCAGGGATTGAACACGGGCCCCCCTGCACTGGGCGTGCAGACTTAGTCCCTGGACCGCCCGAGAAGTCCCTCTCAGCCACTCTTGAAAGACAGCTGGAGAAGTGATTTTGGAGTCAGATATATCAAAAAAAAGAATGTCCCTTCTATGAGCATTTAGATGCTGAGCACTGTACTAAGGGACCATGTATCAGTTAGCTATTGCTGCAAAAGAAATCAGTCCAAAGCATCATGCCTTAACACAGTTTGTCACCTCAGTTTCTGTATTCAGGAATTGCATGGCTTATCTTGGCTTCTGCATCAAGGTCTCTCATAGGAGCAAGCAAGGTGTCACCCAGGGCTGTAGATATTTTGAGGCTCCATTGGGGAAGCATCAGCTTTTAAGATCACTTGTGTAGTGTAGACAGGAGTCAGTATTGCATAGGTTAGGAGGCTAAGAACCTCAGTCCTTCAATGACTGTATGATCGTATCTAAGAAGGGACATTCCATCACTTTTTATGGGAGGGGATTACACCAGGACATGACTAGCAGGGAGTGGATTGTGGAGCCATGTCAGAAATGCCTTCCATATTGAAGCATATATTACTAACATCCTCCAGTTTCCATGCTCCCAAAGTCCAAATCCATCCCCTCCCTTGACAGATCTGGCTGTAGACCTGAACTTCTCTGGACCACGAAAACTAATCTTATCATTCTGACACATAGGTAGAAAATGAAAAGGAATAATTATTTCCCACTTGTACAGTCTCCTGGTGGAGGAACATCCCCAGAACCCTCCTGGCTTCTCTCTCAATCTTTTACTCTCTCCTTCAAGTGAGAATTTGGAGAGATGATGCTGGCTCAGACCTGTCCCCTCCCTCTCCTCCACATCTGCCTGCCTTCAGGTAAAGCATGTTTTGGTCCACTTGCTTGGCCACCTTATCAGAGCCCTGCCTGAAGTTTTGGGCAAGTGTATGCAACTCAGAAGAGTTTTGACACACCCACTGTCACACCTGAGCCATGTCTTCTAGCATAGCTTTCCTAGGAATAAACCAGCACTTTGACCTCCATTGCTCTGATTCCTGTTTCCGTCTCAGTAAGTGCAGGCGCAGGTGGAGCTACCTACCAAGAGTGACACAATCTGATCTAGGATTTCAAAGGGCCCCTTGTTGGCCCTGCTGGGAACAGGCTGCAGGAGGCAAGAATGAGAATCAGAGAAGCCTGAGGGAAGGCCTTTGCCATCATCCAGGAGAGAGAGGATGGTGGCTGGTCCAGGCTGTGGAGACTGTGAGTAGGTGCTGATGGGGAGTGCACCAGAGGACCGGACGGGTTGGGCGCAGGATGTGAGAACAAGGCAGCCAGGTCCCAGTGACTTGTGCAACTGAAGGATGGACTCGCCATCAGCTCCGACACGGGTGGTCACAGGTCGAGCCAGTTTCTGGGGGAAGAGAAAGAAGAGTTCAGATAAGGACTTGAGATGCCTGTTAGACACTGCAGCAGGCAGAATAATAGCCCCTAAGGATGTCCACATACTGAATCCCAGAACTTACAAATGTGTTACCTTACATGGCTAAATGGAATTAAGTTTGCAGATGGAAATAAGTTGACTGATTAGCTGGCCTTAAAATTGGAAGTGTCCTGAATTATCCAGGTAAGCCCTATATCATTATAAGCACCCTTAAAAGTGGAAGAAGGAGGAAGAAGGCTGTCAGAGTGATGCCATGTGAGGACTCAACTGGCCATCGAGGATGGAGGAAGGGCCTCAAGCTGAGCAGAGCAAGAGGCCCCTAGAAGCTGGGAAAGCCAAGGCCAAGGATTTTCCTTTAGAGTCTCCAGAGGACTATAGCTCTGCTAACACCTTGATGTCAGCCCAGTGAAACCCATTCTGGACCTCTAGCCTCCAGGACTATAGGATAGTAAACTTGTGTTGTTTTAAGCTACCAAGTTTAGGGTAATTTGTTACAGCATCAGTTGGAAACTACTGCAGACATCTCAGTGGCTACCTGGTGCTGGTGGATAAGGACATAAATAATACAAAATAATCAAGGCAATGAGAAACAGAGGGGAAGATGAAAGCTGGAGAGGCAGAGAGAGACAGAGAGCTGGACAACTGGCAGCGGGCCACTGGCTCCTGCAGCCCATCCCTCAAGAGCGGATCTGTTTTTCTTCCCCAGTAACGTGAGCAATGAATCTTTTTTTCCACTTAATCTAGTCTGGGCCAGTCTTCTTTCAGTAGCCACCAAATTAGTCCTGACTCACACATGTCTGTGGTGAAGTTAGAATGGGGTACCACCTATGAAGTGCCCAGCTGATGCTCAGAGCTTTCTGGATTCTGTAGGTCATTAGAAGTCCAGTGTCAACCACATAGAACTACAACTTCTGTCCTCTCTCCTCTGTTTTCCTGATCGCCAGCCAGTCTGGAGGCTTAGGGGACTCAGAGTTGGGGAGAGGGTATAAGTCTTCTCTTTGATTCCTTCTTTCTATCCTGAACTTGTTGGACAGTGGATTGCTACCATCTGTCTCTGACACCCTTCCTGCCCGCTCCCTCTTCCGGGGACAAGCAAGAGGAGGGATGGGGAAGAGGACCCACACCTCTGCTCCCTGGCTCCTCTCGTCCTCCACCTTTGATGGTCACTGCTTCTCTGGGCAACACTGATGGGCTTTGATGCTCTTTATGTGAAAGGTACTGAACACTTGTGCATTCACGTGGGCACGCATTTGGATCCTGGAGGAGAGGGATGAGGCCCTGCTTTCTGCACTCAGATGCTGACTCAAAATTCCAAAGATCTCCTCCTCCTTACCTTCTGATCTTTTGCTTATGTAGCCCAGTAGGCATGGGATGGGCTTGGGGTGGTTTTGTGGTGATCAGACTTCCCTCTTAGTGATGCCTCGAGGGTGGTCTCACCTCGTCCATCTAAGGGCCCTGGTGCGTTGGCCCGTGTGAGTGCCCTCCTCGCCCTGAGCTCTGAGATGACAGGGAACGCGCCCACGTCATCTCTGTGCCACACGGCAAGGAACAGAAGCCAGCATGTATCTCTGAATGATAGAGGAGGCCACTTAGTGACTTTACAAAGGAGAGTGATCAGAAGAAGATGGACTGGGTTGGATCCAGGGAAAGGGAACACGTAAGAATCCATCATCTGCTCAAGTTGTTGACAAAGGCTAGAAAAGCACACTTCACTGACATACAGCTGAAAGCAGGGATGGGAAAAAAACAATAGTTTCATGTTTATACCCTGAATGAAGTTCAGAATATATTTTAAGAAAATCACATGGCATACATTACTTTAAATGTAATTCTTGCAACCACCATCTGGGACCCGATGTGAAAATCGGGGTCAAGGGGCAAAGTGCCCGCCCAAGGACACGCAGATGGTGGGTCTGGTGCTCAAACTCAGAGCTGCCCCTGGACCTTGCATGACCCCAAGATGCCACCAACGGCAAGAATCACCGAAGTCACTTAACCTACAAAGAAGACTCATCTTGGCAGCTCTTCTCAGCTATTCTAGGAAGCCAGAAAAGGCCAGGGCAGCTGCGTCAGAAAATATCTCTGCCTCAAGGTTTGAAGATCCAGGAGTTCTCTGACCCCAAACCTTCAGAGCCTCTGAAATGACTTAAAGAGACAGCTACAAGCTTCTCCAACAGAGAGAAGGTGTTTCTCAGATGCTCTTTTTTCTCGTTAATCTTACATCTTACTTGACTGCCTCCTACTCCCCACCACTGGCACTCAATTTTTTCTCTTAAGTTGGTCCTAAGAACAGCAGAAAAGTGGTGGTAAAGTAGTGACTGAAACAGAGATCAAATGGCAAACCATTCCTAAGGCATTTGCGAGCTGCTTCTTTAAGAATATGATGGCGATAGTGATGGTGATGATAATGATGGTGATGGTGGTAATGATGGTAGTGATGATGATGATGTAATTGACTTACTTCAGGCAAGGCCAAAAAACCTGAGCGCTTCCTTGGGCCAGATGTGGCCTCAGCAGTAGCAGAGGCTAGCTGAAAGCTTACCTCCTGGTAAGGATCTCCTGGAAGGGACAGCTAGCGCTGACTGGAGGGAGGCCAAGGAACCAGGGCCTGAGGAGAGACAGGTCGTCTAAACGAGAGCCATCACCAGCACTACAGGTGTAACCAGAGGGTTCCCAGAGAACCCACAGACACCCCCTCTTAGAAAACATCATTAGCCCCCTGCCTGGCCAGAGAATGCAAAGCCACCTTGTCAAGTCTAAACTACATCTCCCCTCTTCCCATCTGACCCACGGTGTGACACGAAAGAGCAGCTGTGTGTACATGGACAGGTGGTCACTTCGTTTCTGAACTGAGGCTGTCACAGGAGGCTTGGGGGGCTTAGGCCTGTCTCTATCACCTAGGAGGGAGGAGCAAGAGAGGCACCGGGAGCAGGAGACAAAAATAAAGTTGTCTTTGACACTCCTGTAAGGCATTCTTGTTCAATGTAGCAGTTTCAGCAAAAACAACCAATCAGTTAATAACAGCGACATCTCTGCCAACAGCAGCGTCTCCTCCCTAACTGTGGACCCCTGGCTCTCAGGACAAAGTCCATGAGGGCCTTCCTCAGGGTCAGTTCCTCTTTCTGCTGCATGCCTTCCTCTGCTTCACCGGGTTGCCTCCTCCTCAGCCTTGTAGGCACCCAACCACTCAATGCATCATAACTCTACCCCATCTCGCTGATTCCCGGCTCAAGGCCCTTATCACCAGCCAATTTCACTGCTGTGCGTACACACCTGCTCACCACCTATCTCCCTGGCCTCTGTCTTCTTCCCACTGTCCCCCCAGCGCTTACCTCGGGGCCTGTCATGATGCCATCACTTTGCACCAAGTTTCGTATTATCTAGTTTCAGTTCACATGTGTTTAAAACGGTACAGCTGAACAAGACTCATCTCTAAACTAGATTCATTGCACAGCTGCCTGTCTTGGATGGATGCTCCAGGAAACGTTCTGAAATCCTAAAGAGAGAGCAAAGACCCACGGCATCTGGAATTCAGGAGGCAGGCTGAGGCCCAGATGGAGAGAGAAGCGGAATGGAGCTGCTGGAGCAGTGTGGTGGGGTGGCCGGGGGCAGGGGGGGGGCAGGGTTCCATGTCCAAGGCTCTTTCCCGGATGGCCCCCTGCCTGACAGCCTCTGTCCAAGGACACAGTCTCTGTCATCACCAAGGGCAACGGCATCTGAGAGTCCACTCCATCTCAGACCCAGAAAGAATTCTGCCTGGGAACACAGAACATTAACACACTGGATTGGGAAAGCATGACCGGGGCCCAGAATAGCCTCTGTGCCCGTTCCCTGGCCGCAGCGGAAGGCCCCAAGGCTCTGCTTCATTGTTGTAGTGTCACTGTCTGCAGTCTGCTCTGACTTCAACTCCCTTTCTGCATCCTGCACCCCTGGCTTGTTCTCAGCGGGAAAGCTGTGAATTCAATTCTTAATTAAGTTCCCCTGGTGCCAAAAATAACTAGAACCACACACACACACACACACACACACACACACACAGAGGTCCCCCTAGTGTTTTTCTCTGTGTATCTGACAAGGCTCGACTTGAGAGGGAACTGATGCCTCATTCTGCCCACTTTCCATCCCTTATCTTAACCCAGTCACACTCCAGTTCTTGGAATGAGAGAGTTTTGGATAGTCATGAATTACGCAGGTCCATACCAACCTTTGCCACTCTCCTGCTGTGCGTCCATGGGCAAATCACTTCACCTCTCTGAGCCTTAGTTTCCTCATCCATAGCAGGGAAGATTATGTCCACATGGCATTAAGTAGACACCTAATTAAATTGTAAAGGTCCAGGGAGGTGGTCCTGTTGACTCAAATTTTACAAAGGGGGAAATGACCCAGCCACAAAGTTTGTGTGTTTTAGGGATTCCAGCCATGATTTAAGGTCCCCAGTCAAATGAAGATCTGATCATGTCGTTCAGCTTTAAACTTCTTTAATGTTTCCTATTGTTTGACAGCCAGAGACCTAAGCCCATCCTATCAACACTGGGTGACTTAATTCTTCCTTCCTGACCCTCTTCTCTGGATCTCCATCTCCCACGGCCCTCTTTTTATCACTTCTTTGCTCCAGATACATTGCTTTTCTCTTCCTTGAAAGGTCGACATTCCCTCCTGCGTCAGGGCCTTTGCATATGCTATCCCCTCTGCCTGGATGTTATTCCAGCCCGGTCCCTCCCTTCCTCTTTTCACCCAGCACCTCCTCACTTCTCAGCTATTAGCTCAAACTTCCCTTTCATGGAGAAACCCACCTTATATGGCCCCAGAAGTACTTCTCCTGTCTCCTAGTTCTTGACACTGGTATTGTTTGTGATCTAATAATGACTACAGTCACTCACATCAGCTTGTGAGCACCGCAGCAGGGGAGGTCTCATTTATCTTGTTCACCATTTGATGTCCCGGTCTAGAACTATATTGGGGGGAGGGGCTCCCTATAAAGAGTTGTCACTATATAGAGATGAATAACGGACTGGAGTAATGAATATGTCTTCAGACCCTGGAAAGGAATCAACATGGCCTTGAAGACCGGATTCCTCAGCCAGGACCTCTGACCTCAAAGGGTCAGCCGACCACCACCCACCAGACGGCTCAGCGCCCTTGCCACGTGCCTCTCACCAGGCAAGTCTAGGAACAACTAATGAATAAGCAATAGGCGCTCTGGAAAAATACAGCTTGTTGTGCAAATGCAGCGCCTCCGCAGTGGTGCCCAGGGCGGTTTCTGCTCCCCCTCTCACCCCACTCTGAGCACCTCTCCCGCCCCCACCCCTCCTGGACGGGGTCGTGGACGCTGGCAGCGGGTCTGACGTCAACACGCGGATAAAGAATTTTCCTTTTGTCCTTCCGCTGACAAGCCAGCTCCAACGGATGCTGCTCGCCCGAGGGGTGTTTTGAGCAGGGCTGCGGTTCCTGCAGCGCAGACACCGGAGGGAAATGGAGTTTGGGCAGCCACATCCACAGCGCAGGTGGAGGGAGCTCCGAGCCCGGCTCCGGTTGTCTTGGCTTTCTGTTGCGTGGCTTTTCGGAAGCGGGGAGGGTCTCTCTGTGTGTTTTCCCTATCAAAAAAACACACAGGAAAACATAACGTCAGAGAAATTTTGGAAAATATACAGAAAAAAATCTCGTACAAACCTCGCAGCCTGAGGGTGCAGTGCGGCCTCTTTTGTAGGCTTTGTCCACCGGCAGCTCTGCGTTTGCAGAAGCCGTCTTGCTTTCACCGTGTTTCATTTTTGAGGTCCCCTGTAAGCACATCTCCATGGGGCTTCTAATTATCAGTGTCATCCGCAGCAGAACACGGCTTCCCCTTGGGGTCCGAGCCCTGGCTCACCTGCCAGCTTCTCTTCCTGCCCCTCGGCTCAGCGCTCCCCTTCCCCCTGGTGCCGGGCCTGTTCTGACCAGAGTCGGGGGGCCCGGGTAGCTCTGGCCCGCTGCTGGCCTTTTCCGAGCCTCCTTGTGCATGTCTAACGTGGAGGACGAAGTGTCTTTCTCACGGGCGGGGCTGCCGGGAAGATGAGCAGCGTGTAAGGCGGCCACAACAAATGATCACAAGCGGGGTGCCTTCCCACACAGCGATGTCTTCTGACCCAGATTAGAAGGCCAGATGTGCTGCAGATGTGCCTCTCTCCCGGCTCCTGGTGGCTGCCAGCGAAGTGCAGCTGGCAATCGTTGTTGTTGTGTAGTCGCTAAGTTGCATCCTACTCTTTGCGACCCCATGGACTGCAACCCACCTCTGTCCATGAGATTTCCCAGGCAAGAATACTGGAATGGATTGCCATTTCCTTCTCCAGGCAATCCTTGGACCTGCTTATAGACACGGCATCCTGGTTTCTACCTCCATCTTCATATCAGCTTCTCTGTGTCCTCACCTCTTCTTAGAAGGACACCAATCTTTGAATTGAGCCAGGAGGATTTTGTCCTGAGATCTTTAATGACATCTGCAGGGACCCTGATTCCAAAGAAGACCACCTTCTGAGGTTCTGAGGGGACATGGGTTTTTGGAGGACTCTATTGAAGCCACTTTACCATGATAACACAAGGGAAATTATTGGCACCAACAAGTCTATCACTACCAGTGATGGGATATGTTCAACAAACACTGAGTGAGTTAGCAAGCTGGCTCACACACTAGGCACAGTTGGCATGGGTGGACCCTCATCCCCCAGGCTGAGACCCTGGCAGAGCCGAGGACCCTGTGCAGGCAGGGACTAGGGTGGGAGATGACATGAAGAGTGGTGTGGTGGGGAGCAGATAATCCTAGGAGTCCATGAAAATGTTTCAGCTTAGTTTAAAATAAGAAAAGAAAAAATGAATAGTATCCAACTTGAGTTGTTGCTGTTGTCCAGTGACTCAGTCGTGTCCGACTTTTTGCAGCCCCATGGACTGCAGCACGCCAGGCCTCCCTGTCCTTCAGTCACCCAGTCACGTCCTACTCTCGGTGACCCCATGGACTGCAGCACACCAGCTTTCCCTGTCCATCACCAACTCCCGGAGTTTACTCAAACTCATGTCCACTGAGTGGGTGATGCCATCCAACCATCTCATCCTCTGTTGCCCCCTTCTCCTCCTTCCCTCAATCTTTCCCAGAATCAAGATCTTTTCCAATGAATCAGTTCTTCACATCAGATGGCCAAAGTATTGGAGCTTCAGCTTCAGCACCAGTCTTTCCAATGAATATTCAGGGTTGATTTCCTTTAGGATTGATTGGTTTGATCTCCTTGCAGTCCAAGGGTCTCTCAAGAGTCTTCTCCAACACCACAGTTCCAACCTGAATTGTATTTATCTTTATACCAATCGCATAAAGTTTTAAGCTTATTTTATGAGGAAATAATAAAAGGCCATAAAGACCCAAAAAGACCCATAAAGGCAAGAATGTTTTAGGTGAGATTTCTCTGGTGGTCTAGTGGTTAAGAATCCACGTGACAATGCAGGGGACACAGGTTCAACCCCTGGTCTGAGAAGATTTCACGTATCTCGAGGCAGCTAAGCTTGTGCACCTCAACTACTGAGCCTGCACTCTGGACCCCGTGTGTTACAACTACTGAGCCCGAGAGCTGCAACTTTGGAAGCCCACACACCCTCGAGCCTGTGATGCACAACAAGAGAAGCCACGACCATGAGAAGCCACAACCAGAGGGGAGCCTCTGCTCAGTGCAACTGGAGAAAGGCCACATGCAGCCACAAAGACCCAACACAGCCAAAGATAGACAAATAAATCAGTTCATGCATGCATGCTAAGCCACTTCAGTCTTGTCCGACTCTGTGCGACCCTATGGACAGCACCCCTCCAGGCTCGTCTGTCCACAGGAGTCTCCAGGCAAGAATACTGGAGTGGGTTGCCATTTCCTTCGCCCATAAATCAGTTCATTAAATAGTTATTTAATAGTAATAATAAAAGGAGGCTTGAGGTCCATGCAAGTCCCAGTGGGGCCTAACTTCTGTGGGCAAGACCCTGTGAGGTTCTTTGCTGTGTTGTCTCATTTTATCCTAACAGCCTGGTAGGAATTGTTATCCTTATTTTGGGAGGTGAAGAAACTAGGGGTATGTGAAGTTGACCTGTACTGACCCCAAGCTGGAGACCCCTGATCTTGGCCCCCAGGAAATGGCCCAGCTCAGGCAGGGTATGTAGGGCCGTGCTGAACCAGGACAGGACTAAGTCTCCAGCCTGGGTGCTCCTGACTCCAGACCTGGAGCTCAGTGCAATCGGTGTGCTCACTGCACTCCCTGCCTGCAAGGCCCCTGACTCCATAATCCCCAAAGACACGTGGGCTGCTTTCTCTATAAAGCCACTGCCTGGTCTCTGGGCAGGCAGCGTGCCTGAGCCCCAAGAACCTCCCTGTGGGAGGAACTTCCCTCATTAGCCAGCGGTGCTCACACTTGTTCTGCACGAGCCTGGGTGAGGCTGGCTGAGGGCCCCCATCGTGAGAGAAGGTGGATCTTCCTCGGGGGCTCAGTGGGTTTATCCCCACACATGGACTAGGCCCCACCCTGTCTCCAGCCTGAGGACACACAGGTGGATGCAGTGCAATCCCGGCCTCCAGGAGCACCCAGTCACGCAGGGGAGGCACTGAGGACTTCCCTGGGAGGTGATAGTCCGGGTCAGTCCTGACTCAGCCAGATGGCAGGTGACGGGCAGGTGAAGGGAGGACATGTCTGTGCAGGACCGGGCAGGTGGGTCACACGTCTGGAAGGCTGGTAGGCACGGAACGCTCAAGCCAGGGCCCAGCAGCTGCAGATGCTGGGGCAGGAAGACTGGGCCAGTGAGCTGAGGGAGAGAGGACAAGAAAAAAGCCAGACAGGTAAGCGGGACTAGATCACACCAGGCCTTGGGGGACTTTAGAGGAGCTTGGATTTGATTCTGTGTACAGTGAAACTGCTGGAAGATTTTAGACAGGGAGTGATGTGCTCTGGACTAAGGTTTTTCTATCATAATTCTGGCTGCTGTGGAGATGAGGTCAGAAGAGGTTGAAGGGGCTGGAGGGGAAGCAAGGAGACCTACTGGGGATGTTGTCATCAGCTGGATGATGGGTACTGTGGGCTCCGTGCAAGGTACTGCCAGAGGAGACCGCACAGAGCTGAAGGGTGTGGGGCATTTGGTGGGGGAGAAAGAGGAAGCAACTCTTCTGAGGAGACTGAGCTCAGAGGGTGTGTCAGGGAAAGCACCAACCAAAGAGTGATGGTGAGTAGGGTTTTTAAGGTTGAATAGGAGTTTTCACAGCAAGCAAACGCTAAAGGGTTTCTCCCAACAGTGACCAGCATGGACAGTATCCCAGAAGGGAAACCTTCAGTGGCTGGATAGCACTGGAACACGAAGAATACAGGAGAGGATGGCAGGAGGGGAAAGTCGGGGCCTCGAAGAGCCTTGAGATCCACGTTGGGTTTGGACCTGGTCCTAGAGAAATAGACAGCTGCAGAAGTCACATGGCTAGTTTACACCCCGAATTCCAGTGAAAGGACTGGAAACCATTTTCCAGGTGGAAGGCGTGAATGAATTACTCAGATGCACGGTAAAATCTGTTTCAGAGAATGAGGAGCTGATGATGGCACCTGCAGGCATGTTCTCACCTTCTCCTGGACTCCGCTCTTCACCGTTTGTGAATCGCCATGGCAGGGGAACCGAAACTGGGAGAAGCCTCCTCAGGGAGAAGCAGCGAGGATGTGAGTGTCCTTTAGCCTCAGCGCATCTCGAGGAGGGCACCCCAGCCGTCACAAGA